GCTTCGTGTGAATTCAGGCTAGGGGCCGGGAGCCTGTGGGTGGTCACCACACCAGGATCAAGTGCCGGGAGTTGATGAGGGCCCCACCCTTCCAGGTTTGCCTGCTGTTGAAACCTGACAGCCACCCCACATCAGAGAACACAGGAGCCACATCTTCACTGTCAGTATTCCTAGTAACTAGAAGGAAGAGAGGGAGGAAGGAAGTGGGGAGGGAAGAAAGAAGGGGAGAGGAAAGGGAGAAGAAAGGGAAGAGGAAAAGGGAATGAAGGAGAAAATAAAGGAAGCTAGCAAAACAGGAAGTCAGGGAGTGAATAAATGGACTAGTCAGGACTCAATAGCCTGGACCAACACAGAAAACCTAGCCTATGAACTTGGTCAAAAAAGGGCAAATGAGATCGCCCAGCAAGTTATGTCCCAAGATCAAAGCAGGTCCTGGGTCTCACTGGCAGCAGACTCCAAAAGAATCACAGCAGATGTCACTAAGGCTCTAGGTCTGGAAGGGTTACCAAGCTCCTCAGACTGAGAGAACAGCAGACCTAGCTTGGTAATGAGCAAAATGAGAGCTGGCCTTGGAATCAGACACACCTGACTGGAAACCCAGCTCAGCCATTAGGTCAGGTCATTTAACCCCTCAGAATTTCCTTATCTTGACAATGGGGATACTACTACTTTGCAGACTAGTCACAGAGATCAGAAATAATGGTGTATGATAACTGGCATTCAGTAGGTGTTAGATGGCAACTTCTTTTTAAAGTTTTATTTATTTATTTATTTTGGCAACATGGCATCAGGGATCTTAGTTCTTCAACCAGGGATCGAACCTGTGCCCCCTGCAGTGGAAGCATGGAGTCTTAACCACTGGACCTCCAGAGAAGTCCCTGGCAACTTCTATTATTAGGGAGCAATTCATACATGCAAGTTGGGTGACTATATGTTTAAAATATTTTGTATGGAGATTTTCAAGGAGCAGGAAAATGTATATGAAATAAAAGTGCTTTGTAAACTGAAAAGGATCCTACAAAATGTCAGGGAATTGTTTGGGAAGTCGTCTTTTATGGTTAGAAAAAATACAGGCTTTGGGTTTGGGCAGAAGTAGGTTAGGCTCCTGACCCTGCCACTGACTTGCCATGTAAGCCTGTTTCTGCATCTGTCAAATGTGGGTAATTCTTACTTCACAGGGTTGTTGTGAGAATAGGATGCTGACTGGCATATCCCTTCCTGGGTAGGCGGCAAGATCCCGTGTGATAGGTCAGGTCATCAGCAGTGCCAGAGTCACATTCTGCCAACTGGCTACAAACGAGGAGGGCCCCTCACTCTGGAAGACCAGGGCTCCAGACTGGCAAGAGAGATAGAGAGGGGTCTTTTGTATTTGTCGGAGGAAATCTGGATGAACACTAAACCTCCATGCAGAAAGCACTGAAAACTGCCATGCGGAGCCAGGCCTTCAGAAGGGCAGAAAGCCAGGCATGATCGCTAACAAGCAGTTCAGTTAGGAACTGCACTACTGCTACTAAGGGCAGACCTTAGGTTCATCTTGTCCCACCCTTCACCCCCTATTCCCTGTCACTGTCATTTGTCCTAGGCACCGAATAAGTGTCAATCAATAATCTAAAGTTGAAAAGGTTCTCATGCTTGGCACTGACATCCCACAGCGCAAAGGGTCCAGGGCTGTATCAAGAGGCCACACTAACTCCCACTTACAGGGAATCACTTGGTCCCAGGCCAGCCCCCTAAGTGGCTCCTCCTTCAGAAGCCAGCAAGGTGAATGTAGTGAAGGCGCATCAGCTCAGAATCAAGGGAGGCCCAGGTCTGAACTCTGGCTCCGCTACATACCTGCTGTGCGACTTCACAGCGAGTGACTTCACCTTTCCTCACTTGCCTCATCTTACTCCCTTGCAGTTGCTGCGACAACTAAATGAGATAAAGAATGTGAAAGTGACCTGCAGAATCCAGGGCACAGAGCAGATGCTCAGTTAATATTACTTCCTTCCTTTTCCCCTTCCTCCTCACAAACCTCAGAGTCAGCTGCTTCCTTTTGCTTTTCAGAGCAGCCACCCATTCCTTCTTGGAATTCAACTCCCTTCCAGAGTGGCTGTGGTGCAACCACCTCCCCACTTCTTCGATGCCCCCAAATAAGTACACGGGTCCTTTTCATTAAAGGGTTTTTACTGCTAACCCTGGGGAAACAGATGCACGTTGGGGCAGGGGTGACAAGTCACAAACAGGAGGGAGTGTGAGGGTCCCTGGATCATGGCTCCTTGAGGGCTTCCCTTTCATTCCGGAAGTAGGACCTCAGACCTCTTCTCTGGGCCAAGGGGGCCCCTTTCTCCCCTGCTCCTCCCAGCCCAGCTGAGGCACAGCAGGTGGGAACTAGTGGACCACTGCAGTGTGCCCTAAGCGGTCCACATACTATACAGAGGACCTCCAGACAGTGATGCCCACCTCACAGGCACTTCCTCAAAGGCCAGGGGACGGTTGCCCAAATGATATGAGCATATCCTAAGCCTACCTTATTTCTCTTTCACCCCAAGGAGGTGAAGCCAAGACGGGGTCCTCTGACTTTCTACCACAAGAAATCGGCCTGGAAAAAAAGTGACGATTTTTACTCAAGAGTCCCTTCTCAGGACTTCCTGGAGATCCTGGCTTCAGAGGCAACAGAAAACCACTCTCCAAAGTGGGAGGAAGGGCTTGAGGTCAAGGGGGCAGCAGGAGATCCTAAAGATCTTTCTGCACTAGGTTGGGGTCCCATGCTCTGCTCTTTCTCTTCCTCGCCCTCTTCAGCTGGAATCTTTCCCAGCCTGCTCTCCCTGGTGAGTTTTCTGGTGGCGGATGAGATTGGAGCTGCGGGAGAAGTGCTTCCCACACAGCGTGCACCGGTAGGGCTTCTCGCCCCTGTGGGTCCTCTGGTGCGCCCCAAAGTTGGAGATGTCGCTGAAGGTGCGCCCGCACTCAGCGCACTCATAGGGCCGCTCACCCGTGTGGGTGCGGTGGTGCACGCCGAAGCTGGAGCTGTTGCTGAAGCTCTTCCCGCACTCGCAGCAGATGTAGGGCGCCGGCTCCAGGTGGGTCCGGTAGTGCACGGCCAGCGCCGAGCTCTGGCTGAAGCTCTTGCCGCAGATGTCGCAGCGGAAGGGCCACCTGCCCAGGTGGTCCTGCTGGTGCGAGGTGAGGTCCGAGTGCCGCCGGAAGCTCTCCTCGCAGTTGGGGCACTTATAGTGCTTCTCCTCCAGGTGGATGCGCTCGTGCCGGATGCGGTTGGAGCTTCTCGAGAAGCTCTTGCCACACTCAGAACACTTGTAGGGTTTCTCGCCTGTGTGGATCCGCTGGTGTGTTCTCAAGTTGGAGGTATTATTGAAGGTTTTGCCACACTGGGCACATATAAAGGGCTTCTCATCAGCCTCGGGCCTCGGATGAGCAGAGAGGTCCTCTGGCTCTCCAGCGGGGACAATGACGTCCTGCGGTGGCTTCTCTGGATAGAGCCCTTGTGGCCCCTCTGGCAGGCTTGCTTGCCCATGCTCTTTCTCCCCATCTGGGATCCAAGAACCCTCTGAGTCATCCACTCTCCATGGCTTATTACCCCGTTCCCCTTCCTCAGGCAGGTGCCGTTCTGGGCTCTGCTCCTTCTCACTGCCCATCTCTGAACCCTGAGAATGAACACAAATGGCCAACACCTTTATTCCTTGGGTCAGGCCAGACCCCAGGGAATCTTTCGTCCTGGTTGAAGGGGTGGGTATACACCATCCCTATGGAACCATCCGTCAGAAATAACCTCAATTAACTGGAATACTCGGATAGAATGCCTTTTCTTACTTTCAAGTGACAAACTTCCACAGATAAAGCTACCCACCAGAGCAAAAAGAAGGCCCCAGCTTTGTCCACCCCCAAAAGATATTTGTATGATTTGCATAATGTCACTTTTCTTAATACCACTAAACAATGACAGTCTAGACTCGAATTCACCTACAAGTAAAGGAGCTTCCATTTGGGGATGAGTTCAATTTTTCTGCCTAACTGTTAAGTTAACTGAAATTCCCATTATGTTTAATCTTTTTTGAAAAGCCTTCCTTAAAAGTATCCACCTATTTGCCTGCTTTCAAAATGAAGATAACAGAATCTCTAATTCTTGAGGCTCTCCTACTTGTTTACAAGGCCCAGCTTTGAATCCTCTTAAGTGTACACTCCTTCCCTTCCCCAGACCTCACCATAGTCTAGCAAATAAAGGCTTAACATCTGGGTCCTCCAAGACCCACTGAGGACCGAGGCTGTGTCTGTTCTGATTGGTCAGTACCCACTTCCACTCAAATACCACACACAGCAGTCCGTACACAGACAGTCTCACACATAGACTCACACCACACACAGCCATACTCACACACCAACACACTCAGCCACTCTCACAACACACATATCACGCAGTCACACACACACAGTCACACACGTACATACCACACACACCCCTCCCACACATAGAGCCACATTCATGGCTATACAATTACACACCATACACACACCCAGGTACACTCACACACCATACAGTCTCCCAGACACACATTCCCTGCCCCCCCCCCACACACAGAGTGCCCAACACAGGGCCTACTTATGCAAACATCAGCAAATGCTTGCTAAGCTGCACAGACTCCTTTGAGTTCTGACAGCCAAGGACAGGGAATGAGGGGAAGAAAGTACTGATAAGAGGAGAGTGGTATTTCCTCTGAACCTTGAAGAAGTAACAGCATTTCAAAAGGCAGAGTGGGCTGGTGGAGATACTGTACAGAGTGACATGAACAAAGGGATGAGGGAGGGAAGCACAGACTATGACGGGGCATTGATGATAGAAAATGAAAGCTTCATAATTGCTCCAGGTGGCGTCCGGTAATGGAAGGGACACCGACTAAATTTAGGGTTGGATCCCTACAGTGACACATACTGTCTTTACAACTCTGCAAATTACTCAACCACTCTAAGCCTCAACTTCCACATCACTAAAATTGTGATACCAACAGACACGGCAGGACTTTGTTAGAGAAAATGCCTATAATATGCTCAGTGTAAAGTGTGGCAGTACTAGTCATTCAGCACATGACAACTGCTACTACAGTTGTTGAAGATGCTACATGCTAGCCCTGTGAAGGAGGCAAGAATGAAAAAGATCCCTTACATGATCTTGTTAGGAAAATTCAATTAAAAAATGGTACAGCACATATAATCTAAAATGTGAAATACGGACAGTACCTTAAAACTTTAAGGAGTCGGGGGTCAGCAAACTTTCTGTAAAGGACCAGAGAGTATATGTTTAGTAAATTTTGGGGGCCATAGGATCTCTGTTGCAGCTACTCAACTCTGCCATTGTGTCATAAAAGCAGCCATAGAAAATCTGTAAATGGTTGGGTGTGTCTGTTTTCATAAAACTTTATTTAAAAGCAGGGCAGGGATAAAGATGTAGACATAGAGAATGGACTTGAGGACACAGGGTGGGAGGGGGAAGCTGGGGCGAAGTGAGAGTAGCATCGACATATATACACTACCAAATGTAAAATAGTTAGCTAGTGGGAAGCAGCATCATAGCACAGGGAGATCGGGCTCGGTGCTTTGCGATGACCTAGAGGGGTGGAATAGGGAGGGTGGGAGGGAGGCTCAAGAGGGAGGGGATATGGGGACATATGTACGCATATGGCTGATTCACTTTGGTGTACAACAGAAACTAACACAGCATTGTGAAGCAATTATACTCCAATAAAGATCTATTAAGGGCTTCCCTAGTGGCGCAGTGGTTGAGAGTCCGCCTGCCGATGCAGGGGACACGGGTTCGTGACCCGGTCCAGGAAGATCCCACATGCCGCGGAGCGGCTGGGCCCGTGAGCCATGGCCACTGGGCCTGCGCGGCCAGAGCCTGTGCTCCGCAACGGAAGAGGCCACAACAGTGAGAGGCCCATAAAAAAAAAAAAAAAAAAAAAAAAAAAAGATCTATTAAAAAAAACAAAAGGAGATGAAGTACAATTTACCAATCCCTATTAGAGAGTGCTTTTTCAAGAATCTAGATAAGTGATGTGAAAAATAGGCTTGCTTCACTTTCAAAAATGTAAAAAAAAAATCAGAAACAATTTATTCCGATACTTATTCACTGTCTCCTGACCAACCTTTTAAAAATTACAACCCCTCCAAAAAAATAAATTAAAAAATTATGACCCCTTCCCCTTCACTCAGTCTCCCCTGCCCCACAGCACTTCTCAACTCCTAACAATCTGTTTTTTATGTCTATTATTTAGTATTGGCCTCCCCCTGCAAAACGTAAGTCCCATGAGGGCCAGGTTCTTTGCTTTATTCATTAATATAACCCCAGCTCCTACAGCAGTGGCAGTCATACTAGTAGATCCTTAATAAATATTTGCTGAGTGAATTGAATGAAGGCTGGGCCTGTCTCCAGAACCCATTTCATGCCTACTGTGTCTATTCTCACCCACTATTCCTTAACAATCTCCTAATTCCTGCCCACTTCCTCCTTTATGCACCCACAGAATCTTGTACTTGCTTTTACAGTGATTTGCAGTTATCTGTTTACATGTCTATTTCCACTATTAGTTTATAAGCAACTTGAGGGCAGGGACTGGGTCATTCTGGTAATCTCTCCAGCACAAGGCCTGGTGCTCAAAACTTTTTTTAAGTACAAGGGAATGGATATTATCTAATTTACTTCCTACCGCTGCCCATCCCACCTAGGGCTCCAGCATCTGTCTTTATGCAATGAGCTACATGGCCTCCATTCACTACCAATCCTGCTATCCTGAGAACCCACAATATACCAAGCTGTGACTCTACCCAGGACTGAATGCTGGGTCAAAAAAGAGCAAAAAGATTTAAGATTAGTCACCACCCTTAAAGAGTTTATGGTACAGTGCAGTGAAATAGGCCATGAACTCCAGAAACTCATACAGTGTAGAAGGTTAAGTTCCAGTGGAAGCAGAGAAATTGTAATTTGCCCAAGGGCACACAGCAAGTGAGTGGCAGAACTGGGAGCCATGCCCATCACTCCAAAGCCAGTGCTTTTAGCACTACACCAGTATCGGAGGAAGAGGAGAGAAAGAGGGAAGGAAGAAAGGAAAGAAGGAACAGTGCCACGGTAGTTCTGATGACACAGGCATATCTCCCTGAAGAGCTCAGAGATGAGCAGCTTGCCGGAAAAGGTGGTCTTTGAGCTACGACTTGCAGGATGGGTGAGCAACGTTGGGACTTACCGAGATGGGGAGCCCACCATCTACTGAGAAGACAGTGGCAGGTAAAGTAAAGAGGCTCTTACATATTACATTTCAGAGATTTCAAGGAGAAAGGGGCCCATGGGGCTTGTCTTCCCAGGAGGCTCAGAGGTACAGGGAGGACCAAAGGTGGAAGGGACTGAGGCAGTGGAAAAGGAGCCAGGTCTAAGAAGTTAGCGCCAAGAAAGTGGGGTTGTTGATCACTGATGCTGAAGGCCAAAGGCCTGGGTTAGAGGGAAGAGGCCAAGCTGGAAAGCGGTCTGAAGGGCCTTAGTTCGGGGTCTTTAGGATCAGGTCGAGAGCTGGCGGGGGAGGAAGGGGAGAGAGGAGCTTGGAAAGATCAGGGAAACTGTGTTAAAGAACTGGGAATTGTACAGGGGAGGTGGATAAGGGGTGAGAGATAGAGAAGGACCAAAAGAGTCGGAAGGTCCGAGGAGACTGGTCAGGGGACCCGGACCGAGAGGCCGGGTCGCGTGCAGCGGGGCGGAGTCTGAGTCTGAGGGCACGAGCGTTGTAGAGCACAGAAGCTGGGTTCAGACTTGCCGACGGGCTTGGGGCCGGAGCGGTGGTAGAAAAGGAGAAGCTGACCCCAAAGTGGTCAGTGTAATCGGGGCTGGACTACTCAAAGGCCAAGAGAAGGGCGGGAAGGTAGGGGTTTGGGGCCAGGAGCCTGGTCGTGCAGGCCGGGGGAAGGGGTCAGGAGTTAGGGTGGAGGGACCACAGGGGCCCGTTTGCTCCCCACTGGGTCCGGGGAGCAAAGCCACAGCCCCAACTGCCCGGTGAGAGGGAAGGAGCCACGTTTAGAGTTCCCCGCGACGCCATGCGCGCCCCCTCCCCGCAACCGCTAACCCGGGCCCGACGCCAACCAACCTAGCTCCAGCCGTACGATCAGGGACAGCACCGCCTTGGGGGGCCGGGGGAAGGAGTCGGAACCGGAACCCTGAAAGGATCCGCCCTGCCTCTCCAGGACTGGTTCCTGAGGGCTGCCCTTCCTTGCTATTGGCTATACTGGCTGCCACAAGGCAAGAAACTCGGGCAGGGCCGCCAGTAACCTTTGGCCTCGGGTGTGGCCTGCTGGGAGTTGTAGTCCTGTAGAAGATGGTAGCCGCAAAGAAGAAATTTGAGTTTAGAATTTAGTGGTGGAGACTGGATTCCCTCTAAGGTCGTCGGATTTCCTTCTGCGCTCTGGCGTTAAAAGCCCAACGTTCAGGGCCACCGGTCTGGGAAGTTGTAGAATATATAGAGCTAACTAACCTACATGACCTCCAAGGGGTTATGAATTCAGAGGTGCTTCTTTACTCTGAGTTGGTGACCCTTGATGGTCCTGTAGACCCCCCGCGAAGCCAGAGTCCCGCGCCTCACTGGTGGTAATTTAAAGCCAAAGGATTGTGGAACTGCAAGGGAGTCTATTTATTTATATTGATGTATAGTTGATTTACAATATTGTGTTAGTTTCAGGTGTACAGCATAGTGATTTGGGGTAGTTGTTTGCAGATTATATTCCATTATATAGTTTATTACAAGATATTGTGTATAATTCCCCATATGATATAGTAAATCCCTGTTGCTTATCTATTTTTTGGATACTAGTTTGTATCTGTTAATCCCATACTCCTAATTTGTCCCTCCCCCTGGAAGGGAGTTCAAAGATCAACTAATCCAATACATTTGTCAGAGAAGCTAAACGTTCTCTGTCCAAGGAACCACCTCCGGTTTCCGAAAGCCCCTGCGCAGGGTTTTTTCTGAGTGCTTTTTAATTAAACCTGACTGTAGTTCATCAGTTCAGACACAACAAGACCACTAGGGCGTATCCAGGATTAGGATTTTTTTTTCAGATTTAACTTAAAAAAAGAAAGTCTAAGCAAATATGTATGCTAAAATTCTACACGCCTCTCATATCTTCAAGGTATTTCAGTGCAAAGAGAAAGCGGTATTGTCTTCAGAGCTAGATATACTAGATTTATGCTCCCAGTTCTAGTACCTAGCCATTTAGAGCATTATTTCCTTATTGTAAGGATGAAATGAGTCAGGACTTCCCTGCTGGTCCAGTGGTTAAGACTCCGCGCTTCAGCTGCAGGAGGCATGGGTTTGATCCCTGGTCTGGCCTGCATGGAGTGCACTGCAGCCCCCCAAAAAAAGAAGTAGAAGAAAAAGAGTTAACATATGTAATGCTTCTGCCTCCATAAATGTCGGTTCTCTTTCCTGCTGGTAAGTTTCCTTGGGCGCAGCCAATGTGAATAATGTGAATTAGTTTTAAGACTGGGATATTCACAAAAGTATGTTTGAAATTTAATATGGATGAGTGAAATGTAAATACCCCATACATGCTATTACCTTATAAACTGCTATAAATGAAATACTGAGAAGGCAGATTCAGAAATAAAGCTGTGGCTTTATTTTGAACTGTGGTTAAAGCTTGCATGGGTGGAATCAGGCTGTTCAAAACCAATCCCATAATGTGCTCTTCTCTTACCAGCCCAAAGCCTTTCCCCACAACTTCTCGTTCACAATGAAAATAAGAGCATGCCAAACAATGAATAACAAACTTTTATTTAAGGACTGTACAAAAGCAAACAAAAAATTCCATTCAGGAGCTGTGATGGTTAATTTTACTGGGCCATAGGGTGCCCAGATATTTGGTCAAACATTATTCTGAGTATTTCTTTAGGGGTTTTTAGATGAGATTAACATTTAAATCGGTAGATTGAATAAAGCAAATTGCTCTCCCTAATGTGGGTGGGCCTGATCCAATCAGTTGAAGGACTAATGGAACCAAATAGCTGACCACCCCCCAAGTAAGAAAGAATTCTTCCTGCCTGACAGCCTTCTGACTGAGTCATCAACCTTTTTCCTACTTTAGACTCAAACTGAAATATTGGTTTTTGGGTCTTAAGCCTGTCAGCCTTTAAACAGGAATTACACCATGGGATCTCCTGGGTCTTGGGCCTTCAGACTTGGATGGGAACTAAACCATTGGCTCACCTGGGCCTCCAACTTGCTGACTAACCCTGCAGATCTTGGGACTTGCCAGCCTCCATAATGGTGTGAGCAAATTCCTTATAATAAATAAATATATATATTCTTCCTGCTGTGTGTGTGTGTATGTGTGTGTGTGTGCGTGTGTGTGTGTGTCTGTATACACACATATAAAATATATATTCTGGGGCTTCCCTGGTGGCGCAGTGGTTGAGAGCCCACCTGCCGATGCAGGGGACACAGGTTTGTGCCCCGGTCCGGGAAGATCCCACATGCTGCGGAGCGGCTGGGCCTGTGAGCCATGGCCGCTGAGCCTGCGCTCCGCAACGGGAGAGGCCACAACAGTGAGAGGCCCGCGTACCGCAAAAAAATAAAATAAAATAAAATAAAATATATATTCTGTTTCTCTGGAGAACCCTAATACAGGCACTAAGAGAACTTCTGACAGACACATAGAGCCACTTTTTGTTGGGCAGAACTGTGTACCCATCTGCAAACTGATAGCCAACATCACCACAAAGAGGTCAGATCACATATGTGGTGTGACTTGAGAGTGATTAGGGTTCTTTCTGAAACCCACACCAAAAAAGCAAGTTCATTATTTTATCCTCACACCTGGTCTATCAACTTCCTATGTGAGATAATACTCTCTGATCTCAGAGGCTGTTTGCTTCACAAATAGTCAAGTTTTCAAATATTATGGTCTTATAGAACAAAAGGTTCTACACTGGTGGTTAAAACTGCCACTTTTTCTAGCTGGGCCTCTCTGAATCCCAGAGGGGATTCAAAAAGGCCAGTGCAACAGATGGCCTAACCCACTGCTGCCTTTTCAAGGCCACACACAGCTGAGCTGCTCTGTTTGAAGCCATACCTCCCAGCTTCCTGATTGCACTCCTGAGGTTTTTCAGGATTACGGCTACTATGTTTAAAGTCCCTATACCTGGTTGTCACCAAGTAGCTTTGAAAACATGTACATTAGCCCTGAATGTCACCAAACTATGCTGTAAACAGCATCAAGGAAATAGAAAAGGGTGGCTTTTTTTATTTTTAATTCCTCTGGCCTTCTGCCCTATATTCCAGAAGAAAGAAGGAAGAGTGTGTGATCCAAAACATGTTTACTTTTAAAAAGCTGGCTATGGGGGCTAGAGACCTGAACAGAGAAAAGGAGAAAAGCAGTTCTTGACAGGATAAGTAAGAAGTCACTGGTCATCATAACTTCATGACTACAAGCCTGAGTGCAGGATGAGGCAGGATGAAGTGCTTTTAAACAGCCCCTCAAGTAAAGAGCCCCTGTATCTCAGTGACACACATTCAACACCACCACCTATACCTAATCTGATTGTTCATTTGGTTTTCCTCTCGTCTTTTTTTTTTTTTTCTCACACCACACAGCTTGCAGGATCTTAGTTCCCCAACCAGGGATTGAACCTGGGCCCTCAGCAGTGAAAGCATGGAGTCCTAACCACTGGACCACCAGGGAATTCCCATCATTTGGTTTTCAAGAATTCTTCCAGGGCAATGCAAACTTCAAGTCCCCAGAAGGAAGACACGGTTTAGAACTGAGCCCTGGGAGAAAGTTGGTATAAGAGAAACCACAAAGGGGCCTGGGGGAAAGGAGGAGAGACGGTCCAGAATCAGGTGGTTAGGCCAAGAGACTGAAATCCAGGGCACTGGGCTGGAGGGTCCAGGGAGCAGGTGATGAGGCTCATCCCTAAAAAGAAGGAACCTTGAGCCCCTGCAGGGCTGGGCCAATATCAGAGGGCCAGGACAGGATCATATCTGTGAGTGGGAGGAGCTCTGGTGCCTGAGCAGGGAGCAGAAGAGGGTCCACCTGCAGGGCCACGTCTCCATTAGCAAGGCCTTTTTCTTCTGGCTTGGGGACAGTTGATTCTTCCGGTTTTTGGAGTTCAGAACAGATGATTAGAGGTGCCATGTTTTTTCCTCCATCATGAAGGCAAGGTTCAAAGAAAGGGCGAAGGGGGCCAGAGAAACTGTGGGTGAAAGTAAAGATGTGGGACTGGTTGGTCACGTTGTAGAAGGAAATGACTCCTGCTTCATAGTCCAGAAAAATCCCCACACACCGCGGGGGCTCTTTCAGGTGGAAGGAGGTCTGCGGGGATGTTAGGGCCTCGTACTCATTCCTGCGATTCTGTCGCAGGAGCCAGTGTCCATTGGCGGGCGAGGCAGTGACCTTCCCCTTCCTGCTCACTGACTCACTACACACCCCCAGGGCCCATTTGCTCTTGTCTGCCACAGACACCTCCCAGTAGTGACAGCCAGCTATGAAGTACTCAGAGCCCAGGACACTGACGACGAAGTCAAATCGCTGAGGGTTGTTGGGCACAGGCTGCCTTGTGTCTCCAAGCTTCACACACCTGCGGTCCTCAGACAGGATGAGTTTGGGATGCGCTGTGTCTGGGTCCAGGGTCACCGTCACTGCAGAGAGTCACAGAGAGGTGAGGTTTGAGACGGCTAGGTCTCAAGGGATCTTTGAGTAGCTTTGGAGGGAATAATCATCCCTAGGTCTGCAACCACTGTCATCGGCCCATTTTAGTTTATGGTGCCCTCACCTTCACATGTCCTGGAACTAAAGAAAACTATCTTTCAGTCTCCTAGATCTGCTGGTGGTCTACTAAGTAAAATAGGAAGTGTTTCTCACCCATCTGTGAAGCTGCCTTAATTCTTAGGAAATAACTGCCTTTGTCTTTGCTGGTCCAAAGGAATCTAATGCATGATAATAAACAGGCTTTGATGTTAGACCCTGTAGCTAGGTAGCATGTTTTGAGTCCCAGCTCTGCCACAAGCTAGTTATGTGACCCTGGGCTTGTTATTCACCTCAAAACCTTAGTTTCTTCATCTGTAAAGAAGGAATAATAGCAGCACTGAATAATATGCTGGAGAAGCTGTTGTGCAGATTTGATGAGCTAATGCGTGAGATAGTGCCTTGTTCACACAGTGAGTGTGTGATGCTCCTTTTCTCAGCTAAAATTATTGCTTATTATTATCATTTTAACATGGTAATATAGAGAGACTTCCCTGGTGGCACAGTGGTTAAGAATCCGCCTGCCAATGCAGGGGGCATGGTTCTATCCCCGGTCCAGGAAGATCCCACATGCCGCGGAGCAGCTAAGCCTGTGTGCCACAACTACTGAGCCTGCGCTCTAGAACCCACAAGCCACAACTACTGAGCCTGTGTGCTACAACTACTGAGGCTTCAGAAAAATAAAACACTCATGCATCCAAAAAAAAAAAAAAATACAATGAGGAAATTAACATGCAAATGAAAAACTCAGAAAAATATTTTGTGAAAAATAGGACCAAGAGTTAATATAGAAAAAGTCCCCACAAGTCGTAAAGTAGCCAGAATAGGACAGGCGCAGACAAGCCAAAAAGATAAAATACAAGTAACCAATGAACTTAAGAAAAATCTCAAAAATCAGAGAAAACCCATAAGAAGAGTAAACCAAATCTTTATCAGTGTTCTAAAAGAAGTGAGACTTTCTGAATCAAAGATTTTTAAAATTTGATAACCAGAGAAACAGATTTGACTTAAATTTTTTTTTAAATTACAGTCTGCCTTCCAAAGGAACAGAGCAATGGGCTCTGAAATGTGGATCCATTAAACTGGTGCAACTTACCAAAGTGTAGCCGGGCCCTTCTCCAGCCTGAAAGACAGAAAAAGGGATTGTTAAAGTGATGGAGAAATGGAGACCTCCTGGTGCAGGTGGAGTGGGGGCAGGTAGAGTGGGGGGACAGGGAGAGTGCACCTCACCTGAGTTTGCTGCAGCTCTCTTTAACTCTACAAAAGAAGAAACAAGAGGAGTGAGCTTTCACTGGAAACATAGAATCAACATAAGTTGGTATAGAAGTTATAAGAACAGGGGAACTTACTCAGTTCACGCCGGAGTTTCTCTAAAGAATAACAATTTGACAAATCAGAATGAGGGCTTGTACATGCCTGTGATGCTCCAGTCCCATCCCAACCGCATTCCCAGAGTAGATCCCCACTAGCAATACCCTGAACTTTCCCCATGACAGTGTTTCCAACAGCAGTGGCTCCCAGCCATGGTCCTGGGGTCCCCAGAGATACTGCAGAGGGTCAGCGAGTCCCTATGGGAGCCAAACCTGACTTGCAGATTGAATCAACAACACATCTCACACTTGTAAGTGATGGCAACATAAACGTATGTAGATGTTGCAGGAGAAGAATAAAATATAAGTTCATTTCGAACTATTACTAATTTCCATTAGATTTTCTTATGCATGTTTTCTCAATGTAAAATCAAATAGACATATCACATGTCTGAGGATTTGGGGTTGTTGTTGTTATGAAGAGGGTCTCATACATGAACAGGTGAAGCATTGTTCCACATATTCAGTTGAATGAGGATCCATCTACCTTGGATCCCACCGAAGGCAACGTCATGCCTGAGTGATAGAAGTGTCTTCACCTATGGATGGTATCTCTCTTCTTGCTAAAACATTTCCCATTTAGTGACTACATAACAATTGTGCAGGAAAGAGGAGCACAGAATATTTGAGGAAAAAGAGGCCTTAGGGAGCCAGGAAATTCCCCACCCTCATGCTTGAAGTATGCTTGCCCCCTCTCTTCTGCCCCAGGAGGTGAATCTGAGACTCTCATCATAAAGCAAAGAGGTCAGCAGGAGGTTTGTGGCACGGAAGAGGCGCAGAACTTACTGAGGGCTTTATAGAGACGTCCTAAAAAAAGAGAAAGAGGCACGAGTGAGCAGATCCTGCCACTTTATCCCCAGGGCCCAGGAAGTCTCATCACTCCACCCCCGTGCCCCCCAGCCCCCAAAGCCCACCCCCGGCGGAAAGAATGATGACAATCCTATCAGCCCCCAATACAGTCACATCCCCCTAAGGGTAGACTGGGGAATTCACTGGTGCTGGTGCCACTTTCCAGATGACCTGGACTACCCTGACTTTGGTTCCTCTTCCCTTCCTTTTGTCTGTCTGGTTTCATTTCCGCTGTTCATATGAGTGTTTCCAATATGTTTGTAACCGAGTGTCCATGAGTGTATGCCTTGCCGCCCTTTTATAACTGTTTATAGTATCTATGGTGTAAAACTGGCTGAAGGCCTACCATTGACTTACTGATGTGGGCTGTTATTCTCTACACTAACCTCCCCCCACCCCGCTGACGTACTGTGGAGAAACATGAATTTGGAGACCCCAGAAGGTCTGGGACATGTGCATATGCTTCTGTGCTTTGGGGGAGTACTTGCAGCCTCTCTGGAAGGGTCATCTGCCCACATTTTCCCCTTAGCACTGGCCCTGCCACAGAGTTGAAATTATACATTTGAGTTCACTGCCAGGCCCTGTACTAAGGGCTGGGCATATGTTAGGTGTTGGGCATTGGGGCAGTGAAGCTGAATATGATATGGCCCCTAACAAGATAACGGTTTATTTTTACCATTCCCACTACAAAGAGCCTCCATTTTGTGTGTCCTGTTTTTATGACGTAGGCCCTGAATCCGCTCAACAATATGAGGTGCATATAATTATTATTCCCATTTTACAGACTGGTGGTCTGAGGCTCAGAGGGACATGGAAATTTATCCAGATTATCCAGCTGGTAAGTGGCCAAGGAGGCAGGAGTCAAACCGAAGTCTGTCTGATTCCTAGTTGGAGGCCTTCCCTACTACACCACACTGTTCCTTCCCTTCTAGGACACGACGGTCATTGTGTCCCTGAGGTGTGCATCCCCATGCTTTAACTAGCCTGGAGCAGATGTGAGGGGGGGAAGGGAGGAGATGCCAAAATCACTGCAGGTGGAGCCATTTCTGAGCCAGCGACTTGTCTTCCCAGCTAGGCTTTCAGAGGGCAGAGCCCCACCTGCTTTTTGGTACCTGGGGTGTCTGTCTTTTACCCTCAGTGGCCCAGAGCAAACATTCAATTAATGAAGACAAAATGGCAGTCAGGGAAAGTTTTCAGGCACTGTAGTAGGAGTTGTGTGGGTTTTTTTTTTTAAGTTGTCTCTTTTAATCCTGAAAATAATCGGGTGAAGAGATTTATTATCCCCATTTTACAGATGAGGAAACCAAAGCTCAGAGCAGTAAAGCGACTTAACCCAGCCAGCAAGTGGCAGATCTGAGCCAGGTGCTGCTGACTCCAGAGCCTATGCCCCTCCCACTGTATCATACCACCTCTCTCAATGCAAAGATTGTATGGATCCTCCTATAATACCATTTTAATATATGTTAAAATAGTATGTGAATCTTCTTTTTAGGTTATTGGTGGGAAAGCCAATGAAGGAACCTATGAATTTTGACCCCAGGCATCCCTTCGGCCACTGCTACCAACCCTATAACCCCTTGATATTAAAAAATAAATTCCAATGGTATTAACAGAGAATATATGTGTGGGGTGTGTGTGTGGGTGTGTGCGTGTGTGTATACACATACACCACATATATATTGTATGTATAACAACCATCAGCATTTATGTAGGAGAAAAAATGTTATTTGTTCCCTACCTCTTATTCTATATATATAATTACCTTTTTCTTTTGCATGGTCTGAGAGAAGATTTTCTAGAGGAACGAAAGTAAAAGAAAATGAGATTCTGTGACATTACCTTGAGGGTCCCTGCTTCCTATTGAGTTTATGGGCTCTTGAACCTGTCCCCCTCTATCTCCACCTCCACCTCCCTGATCCAGGCCCTCATCTCTCTCATTTGGATGCCAGAAAGAGCGGCCCAAATTGCCCTCAAATTCTGTTTCGCTCCCTCTGGTCTCCTCTCAACAGAGCAGCCAGAGAGAGCTTTCTGGAAGCACAATTCTGGTCAGGATAGCCCATTTGCAGCTTCTCCACAGCTCCAAGGAGAAAGACGAAAACCCTTCATGGGATCCGCAAGGCCTCACATGCTGGTCCCCGCCTAACTCTGCAGCAGCACCTTCTGCCACCTTTCCCCTCACTTTTGCACCATGTTTCTTTCTCAAGCTGTGGGTGATTTCCTATTCCCTCTTCCCCCATGCCTGTCTGTCTTCCAGATCAAACATAACTGGGAACATCATCTGGAAACTCATCTGCCATCCCTGAAGTTTGGTTGGTTCCACCCAGTCACCGCCTTCCCAGCCTTCAGAACTTCCTTTGGTGGCTTCTGTACACATTTATTTGTGTAATTATTTAATGCACATATACCTCCCTGACTAGACGGAAGGTTCCAAGAAGGCAAAGACCATGTCCGCTTTCACTCACTGTTGTGTCCTCAGCATCTGGTATAGTCTGCACCACTTAGCAGAGAATTATCAATTATTTGTTGAATGACTAAACGGGTCCCCTACCTTAGACCTACACAACTCCCCCAGGATAAGATCAAGCCATGAGCTCAGAGACAAAATCACCAGACATACTGGAAGGCAAGCTATTACAAGGAAGAGTCAGCAGAAACTGGGAACAACAGGTTTTGACACCACCACCACCGTCACCACCCAGCAGATGCTGGGATCTTCAGGTCCGGAATTTAGATTAGTGGGCCCTGGGGACACAAAAATGAACAAAACAGAGAAACATACCTGCCCAGCCCAGGACACTCACCTACCTCCATTGCATGTTCATAGAGAAGCCTCTCTGGAAGAGAGAGAGAGAGAGAGAGAGAGAGAGAGATGTCAGCTCGGCTTAAGGAAGGGCCTTTTCTAACAGGCAGAGCTGTCCAAGGGACCACAAGCTGCCTGAGCAGGACTTTGCTCCTTGTTGCTGTGGGTGTGTGACCATTAGAAAGGATTAGATGGTCTTCAAACCATCAGACAGGGAAAGGAGTGTTCAGTTATGTGACTTTCAAGGTCCTTGGCAACCCTGCGAGCCATGAAATGCCACCATATTAATGAGGGTTTTATCTAATGGATATGATTGGATTTCTTTCTCTCTCTTTTTTTTAAGATGTTGGGGGTAGGAGTTTATTAATTAATTTTTTTTTTTTTTGCTGTGTTGGGTCTTCGTTTCTGTGTGAGGGCTTTCTCTAGTTGTGGCAAGCGGGGGCCACTCTTCATCGCGGTGCCTGGGCCTCTCACTACCGCAGCCTCTCTTGTTGTGGAGCACAGGCTCCAGACGTGCAGGCTCAGTAGTTGTGGCTCATGGGCCTAGTTGCTCCGTGGCATGCGGGATTTTCCCAGACCAGGGCTCGAACCCGTGTCCCCTGCATTAGCAGGCAGATTCTCAACCACTGCGCCACCAGGGAAGCCCTGGATTTCTTAATTAGAAGACTGGCATCATGCCAGTCTTCTAATTAATTCACAGCTCTGACCAGGAGCTTTCTGCACTTTCTTTGATCCTCTCTTCAATGTGGGTCCCCAGAACACAGCTCTACCAGTTTTCTCCCAGACAACCTGTGGATAACTGTTAGGTCTCTGTCTGCTTCCTCCCAGCCTTTTCCTAGAGAGGCTGCAGTACCAATTCCTGCCAGCCTGGGCTCCCTTACCACTTAGTTACCTTTTGACCTTCTTTGCTTCCAGATGATGTAAATGCCCACCATGATGAAAATCCCCAGGACAGGCAGGATCACAGCAAGAGCCACTGCTGATGAGGAGAACCTCCCTGGAGATGGGGCTGAAACAGAAACCACCTGTGACCACCCTCTGAGAGCTTCTCCATGGCAAGGGCCCCACCTCGAATGGCAGGTGACTCAGGCACATCCCAACTGCCTCCATCACCTTGAGAGAGACCTCCAGCCAAGTTGGTGAGGCTCTCTGCTTCTCTCAGTGACTCAAACCCCAGATGACCAGGAATGACTTTAAAGTGAGATGTTTATCTCTCAGGATTGGTTTCAATGGTCCTGCCTGAAGACATTGATTCAAACTCAGCATCTCAACCACAATCTCATCCTGCCCGAGACTTTGGAGAACTGGAGGTGCTTCCTCAGGAACCGCTATAGTCTTCTTATGAGCACCCATCTGCTCCCCCTTCAAATCCTCACTCTGAGATAGAACAGCAGTCAGCGAACTCTTTGCCTGAGCCCTATCAGCAGGGGCAAAACAATTTCTATGGTGTTACAGCAGCAAGCCGAACATCTAGACAGGAGAGAAAGAAGGACGGAAGGAAAAACTAGTGAAGAAAAGAACAGCAGGAGAGGCTCTAGGACAAGTGGCGAAGAGCCTAAGCTGGATGTGAGTTCTTGCTCAGCACTGCGTGACCCCCGGAGAGAGACTGAGGCTCACCAAGCCCGGCCTGCCCTCTGGAACATGCACCCAAGAAGAAATAAGGCCTTGGGCCTGGCCTCCTTATTCTTGGAACCCCTTTGTCAGATGTCGCAGGCAGGGAAAGA